AATTAATTAATTTGGGACTAAATTGAAACCAATTAATTAGTTTGGGATCAAATTGAGACCAAAAATAAAAGTGGGACTACATTGAAACAAAAAAAGATTATAAGAGACCAAATTAGGTTTTTAGCCTAAAAATTTTAATTTATAATTATATATATATATATATATATATATATATAAAATAATTTGGTACTCCTAAATTTTTTGTCTAAGTTCCGCCACTGGCTATGGCTGTGAACCACGACCATGGCTGAAAGTCTTATCTACTTCATTTTTACCCTATGGCCATAGCCATGAACCACGACCATGGCTGTAGATCTCAAATTTTTTTTGCAATTCCATGGATTTCACCTTCGATCCTCTCCTTCTCTTCACCAATCTTCCCCCTAAACATGATCTACACCCATGATTACTACTATACTCGTCTAAGCAACCTAGAAAACCACGAAAATTTTGACATGCATGCATCAAACTCCATGATCACCCATCTTTACCCAACTCATTCAAGAACACCACAACCCCAACATCATGCAACCCACCCAACTCAACTACTCAGCCCCCAAACCTCACCCTAGATGATGATCCAACCACATGCAACCCAAAATGTACAACAATTTCAAGTTCTAGCTTCCCTTACCTCGAAACAGAGTGAATGATAAACTCCGAGCTACTCTGAAGTTGAAGAAGAAGAAGAAGAAATGAAGATGCTTCAAGGAGGAAGACTCCAACAACATTGTTGCTTTCCTTGTTTCTCACCAGTTCATCCTTCTAGATCAACCACCAACACCATGACTCAGCCAAGAAAGGGAATGAGAAAGAAAAGAAAAATGAGAGTGGGGGAAAGGCTTACGGGTCTCACAACAGTTGTATGTGTTGATGTGTTGTGAAGGTGCTGTTGAGATGTATGTTGTCTATGTGTTGTGTGTTGCATGTTGAATAAACTGTTATTGTTGGTAGTGACATTGTGTTGCAACTTGCTTTTATATTCATATGTTGTTTTAATATTATGTGCTATATGTTGAACCAATATGATGATGATAATAGCGTTGCTAGATTACCTGTGTTATAAGTTGCTTTTAAATATATGTATTGTTGAGAGGTATGTAATACATGTGTTGTTTGTTGTTGTGATGAATATGGTGACTATTATGATGAGTTGTATAGTGGTTTGTGTTACCTGTTTTAAACATATATATGTGTTGATGTGTTGATCAACGTTTAATGTGTTGGAATTAAGTTGAAATGATGTTGAGATGTGTGGTATATGTGTTATTTGTTACTTGTGTTGGATGTGAAGATGATTATATAGTTTTTGTGTTGCATATTTAACTATTATGAGTTATTTATTTTCTTTAGCCTACCCTTGTATGTTTTTATGTGATTTTGACTGCGATGATCATACAATGCATGAGAGCAAGGTAGAGATAGGCTGGGAGATAATTGTTAGAGGCAATAGGAGCTACCTAAAGTGGATGTTTCTTTGGTAGGCTACCTTATAGTAGCATATTTTGTTGTACACAGTTGGATCTTGGTTGCTGACCTAACAACTTGTATTGTAAATATTCTTATTATACTATTTTAGTTTATATTTTAGTAGTGTGTTGTGTTGTTCCGCATTGTAACGGCCAATGCGGGTCATTACATTATATTTTTCATTTTTATATTAGCAACTATATATATATATATATATAATATTCATTTGATATATTTGTATGAAAAAATAATTATCATAGGATGATATAAAAGATAACGGTGAATAGATCATTTATGTAGTACTTACTGACCAAAACATTTTCGTAGTTATGATTATTTTTAAATATTTTTGGTAAGACTTTTTTTATTGATACTATTTTGATTAAAAAAAAAACTGATTTAGTTATCAAATTTAATTTTATTTATACTAATAAAAAAAGTACCTCACGTACACAATTTTATTTCTACTAAAGAAAAAGTTTTGAAACAATTATATAAAGAAATCCTTTATTGCAATTCAATATTTATTTATTTATTTTTTTTTTTAAATTATAATTTTGGTCCATAATTTTGATCTCTTTATTTTAAAATAAAAATATTTAATTCATCTAGTTTTAAAATTATGAAATTTTGGTCCTCCCATCAAATTAATAGTCATTAATTATTAAATTTTATGTTTATTCATACTTAAATAATGTGATATTTAGTAATATAAATTTAAAATATAAAAAAATCATGTAAATAAGATTTTTTAATATAAAAATACTAATCATTTACTAAAATAGATACAAATAAAGAACTTTTATATGCTTTTTTTATTGTTATATGTTACGCGTCACTAAATATCTTGTTATAAATCACTAGATAATGTCAAAATTTAATAATCAATAAATATCAAATTAATGATACCAAAATTATACATTTTTAAAAATAGAGGACTAAATGTCTCTATTTTAAATAAAGAACAAAAATTATAGATTGATAAAAATAAAGGGATCCAATTTAACCTCTTTTTTTTTTTTTAATTTGATTTTGTGATAGTAAGTAATAATCTTTTATTAATTATTTTAATATTTTTCCTTTTTACCTTTACCTTCAAATATGAATAAGGGAATAATTGTCCCGATTCCTAATTTATAATTTGTATCGTCCATATTCCTAAATTATAATTTTTTTTGAATATATTCTATAATTTTAATCACCAAAAAAGGTTTTTACTAATATACAATTTAATTTAGCATAAACATAGCCCAACTAGCTGTTAAGAATAAATTTTCAGATGCTAAGAATGTGTGTGTGTCGTGCTAAATGAGATTTAATTTGCGTGTATAAAGTCGACATATGTGTAAATGCCCGCCAAGTCGTATATGTATTCGTGCCTCTGTGTATAGTTTTAATAAATAAAAATAATAAATAAAAAATTAATTCAAGTTAAATATATAAGTAATTAAAAAATAAAAGACGATTTTGAATAAATATTTAGAGGGTGAAAAGTTTAAAAAATAAATTTATGAATAAGTAGAAAAAAATAGAATAAAAGCTAAATATAAAAGTGTGAGAGGAAAAAAATGATATTTTGAAAGCTAATGAAAAAAAGTCATGTGTATACTTAAAAAGATATATCATCCTTATTAATAATTAGTTAAAAAAAGACACTAAGTATTTTTGTTAAAAAAAAAGAAAAAATAACAAACTTATTCTTTTTTTTTTTTCGTCCCTAGAATATCCAAACTCAGTGATTAATTTTCTCGCTACGAGGGAGGCACCTCAAAGGGTGAAAATTCGAACCCTTGACCTTACTTAAGCGTGGATCAACCTTTACCGCTAAACCACGCTTGGAGTTATAACAAACTTATTCTGATAGCTTATACAATACAATTATATTAGATGTTATGTATAGTTATAAAAAGTAAAATGAAAAAGGTAAAAAACAGACACCATACCAAAAAATAATTTTTTATTATTGTTATAAATATAAATTCATATATAAAAAATTATCAACATGAAAAAGATAAAATTTAAGTATTATTATTATTATAAATTATAAATTAATTATTATTAAAATCTACAAATTTATCATATATAAAGTTTTATATTTAAATAATAGTGTCAAAAAGCATGTAGGTATACCGTATACACATGCATAATGTTTGTTTAAATTTAAAAATAAGTGAAGTGTTTAAAAAAATAATTCTTTAAGAAATAAATAGAAATTACCTATTAAAAAATTGTTTATTTTGAAAAAAAAAAGTTTAGATAGACATAAAAAATATAATAAATACTTATTTTATTAAAGAAAAACACTTTTGGAAGAAAGTTTTTTTTCTAAAGAAACAGACCCACTATTTATTCCTAAAAAATAACAATCAGAATATGACACTAACTCAAAAAATATTTTTACAGATAATTTACTTATAAAATAAATAATAATAAATAAAGTTAATACTTTTTTTATAACATGAATGAAATATAGCTTGTTTAAGAGTTTCAAAAGTCGCAAAATCATTTGATTTTTCTATAATTAATTTTACTTATTGTGATGTAAAAATATTCTTTTTTATAGTGAAAGAGAAACATTAATTTAATCACACTTTGTCAATTTTTTTAATCTTTTATTTATCTATAGAAATTATAATGTCTGAGATTCATCACTGCTAAGATAATATATTGAGTATTAAATATTAAGCATCAAGTAAACATTAAATATATTTATTAAATATTAACTATTAAATATATAATGTATTAAATGTCATATATTAAATATTAGTAAGTTTAAATGCTATGTATAAAATTTTAAATATTAAATGCTGTGTATTAAATTTAATATTCAATGAATTGAAGTCAAGTGGGATAAGAACGTTATGAACGTTTTTTTTGACCGACGCGGGATTTGAGTAATTGGTTCAATGTATTGTATTCAAATCTTGTTATTGTCTTTTAAAGAAGAACTTTAAAAAAAAATCTCAATTATTTTAGCTATGAGTTAATTATCTATACACTGTTAGTATAAAGTTTTTCTACACTGACAACTAATAATATTTTTTAGTTATACCATACTACTGTTAAGTAAATGTATTTACAGTAACATGACACAATTAAAAGATATAATTAGTTGCCAGTGTAAAAAAACTTTACACCAATAATGTATAGGTGATTAACTCTTTAACTACACCTGATTTTTTTTAAGTTAAAGTAACTTTTTATTACTAGAAAAATAACATTTTTTTAACTAACACTTCGCTAGTTCGAGTAGTAATTTTTTTATATTAGACAGTAACAAAACTAATTTTTACAAATAAGTGACAATAAGATGTGGAAATTACCCTTACACAAGTGAAACATTTTATATTTTTTCACGACAGCTACACCTAAGAAAAAGTAAAATCGAAAATCATTAGCGGGTTTTACCTCTGAAAGTACAAAACTTTCCCTAGAGCATACGTGGCGTGTTCTGGTTGGATAACCAACAACGCGAGTCTCACTACTTATAACGCTCTTGCCACTCCCTAAGATATCGAAAGCTACTTCACCTTTTGTCTTTTTATCGGTTAAGGCATTGCATCACTGAATTCTCACTTCGCTAGCGTGCGTCGTTTTCCTTCGTAGCACCGCACGCTGCGCAGCGTTTTAAGCTTAGAGTTCGGTTGGAGTGAAAACAATGGCACCGTCGAATCACTCTGACGATGATTCGGAAAACGACCACGAGGAAGAGGAAGAGGAAGAGCAAGAGGAACCCGGAGATGAAGTTGGTACGTGTCGTTTTGCTCTTCATTTCTGCGTTTGGAATTGTTTGACTACTTTATCCATTTTAATCTGAATTTCAACGACTTTGTGTGTGTGCACCCGTTTCTGATCATTTTTTTTTCGTTTCTTGTTTATTTTTTGTCTTCAGAATGCGATCGAAGTGGTTCTTCCAGCGACGGGGATGAGAACTTGATTGAGGTCGAGATCCAGGAGGAGAAGGAGGAAGAGAACTTGAACAAGGATGAGTACGCTAAGCAGATTCCTCTTTACGCTTTTCTTCAGTCGTTTGCTTTACGTTTTGTCGTTTTTGTTTCGTTTTGTTTCTATGGTTTTCGTGTGTTGCGTTTTGGTGGTTTTTACTTTTGAGAGTGGTTTTGTGGTTTTCTATGATTTACAAGTGATGCATGCGATCTTTGGCGCCTTATTCACTCGTTTACTTTGCGATTTGTCGTTTTTTTATTCATTTTTTGCTGCTGCTTGAATTTTCATGTTTATTTTGATTCTGCCTGGACCTGGTTCAATTTGTGTCTATGGTTTTCGTGTGTTTTAGTGGTTTTCGCTTATTTATAAGTGATGTATGCATTTGTTTTATTGTGCTTTTCTGGATGTGGATGGTTGATTGAGTTCGGTGTTGAATCCTTCCACGAAGGATGATTACTTTTGGTGACTTTAGCATCAGTTCGTTTTTGTTCATGCTGCTGGATTGAATGTTGCTTCATTATCTATTACGTGAACGAAAAATTGTTGTGGGTGCTGCGGAACGATTTTATCTGATATATTACAATATGTTTTCAAGGAGCATATCAAGTGAGGGATCAATGAGATTGTGAAAGGAAAATGAATGGTTGAGTAAAACAATCTTGATCATCTACATATGATAGTTTGATCAAGATCCACTCCTCTGATCACTTTTCACGCTCTTACTTGATATGTCTCTTATGATTCCTTCCTTGAAATTTTTAATAGAGATACAATGTAAATTTTCATTAGATAGATAACAGTTAGGGATCTGAGCCTACAGAAAACGATGAACTTTGCTTCAATCTTGAAAAAATGTGATGTAGAATCCAATTACATTATGGTTTTTAGATGATTAGTTTTAATCAATTGGTGATAGATTACCGTTAAAATTTTTACACAATTAATTAATTTTATCTCAGTTAAGTTTTTCAATTTTATTTATTTTTTTAGATTAAATTATAATTTTGATCATTTATCTTTTTTTATACTCATTTTAATGTTTTATAATTTTGAAATGTTTAATTTAATAATTTATCTTTATATTTGAATCAATTTAATTATTTTAAAATAATAATAATAAATTTTAATTTTATAAAATAATTTTAAACCAATTATTAACTAATTCAAAACGTGAAACTTGTAAATAGATTTAACCATATAAAAATTACAACATTCAATTGACATTTGAATTCATGAATGTTATAAATATAATAAAAATTGTGTCGTAAATAAAAAATGATATGAAATTATAAATTATAAATTTTTAATTACTTTTTATACTTATTTTTATGCAATTTTTATCATGTTTATAATACTTTTTTTTTTTTACTTTAGTTATATTCAACAATTTTCATATAAGTGAGTTTAATGAGTTAAATTTTGAGTTTTGAATCGGTATAAAAAATCTAAAATGATGTATTAAAATTGAAAACAATAATTGTTTTAAAAAGATCAAATTGGTCCAAATTTAAAAGATAAAAAATTAAAATAAACATTTTAAAATATAAATGACCAAAATAAATATAACAAATTAGATAAATAACAAAAAAAAGTATAATTTAATCTTTTTTTTAATATTAAAACTAATCATCTAACATGTGTGCTACGAGGGAAAAAGAAAATCACATTTTTTCATCTAAGATTAGATAATGGATTTGTTTGTTTAAAGCCTTTTTTTTTACAAAAGTATTTTTTAAAAATAAAATAAGCACTTTTTATGTTATTTTTATTTTTGATGTGCTAAACTTTTTTTTTTTAAAATAAGATTTTTCTATTTTTTTTTAAAAGTAACTCTTATCTACTTTTAAAGAATTTTTTTTAAGAGGACTTGTTTAAAAAAACTTATTTTTAAATTTAAACAAATGTACCACATATACTTTACTTTTACTGAATCCCTGTAAAGTATTTTTTAATATGTATGTTATTTTCTGCTCGCGTGAACATATTAATCGAGAAGCATTTTATCTTGGCTTTAAATTACATCAACTTTAACTGGGTTCTCTATTTTTTCACATTAGGATCTAATGACATTTTTCATGGGCATGCTGCTTTTCTAATGAGTATATGATAGTTTGTAGGCGTTTATATGCTTTCTTTTCTAGCTCAGATCGATGTACCTGGGTGAAAACTCTTAACTCTAATTAAGATGAATCTACTTATAATTCTTTACCCTTCACACGATTTGTGTAGAAAGCTATATATATATATATTAATTCTGAGAACATTCTTTATTACCTGCATCTTTTTTCTTTTTAATTTGTCTTATTCCTTGGATGGACAATTTTGTCTAATCAACAAAATTAAGATGGACTGTATCTGTGCTAAAGACTGCCAATATCTTCGCATATAATACATTGACCTGGGGCAATGACTTAAGAATTTGACGTTCAACAATTATCAATCTCTATAAAATATTATAGATAAATATATTAATGTTTGCTACTTATTGATGTTTATTTACAGATATATACTTGTAGATTTGGCATCAGTACGCAAGGAATTTCAGTGTGCTATCTGCCTAGGTATGTAATTTATAACTGATGCTAGATTCCTCAATTATATTTTTTTGCAAAAAGTTTACTGCTGTTTTACAACACGCTTTACTTACTGTAAGTATGGACATGATATCTATGCATATTTTTTTTAGCAAGATAAGATGACAATACGTTTATAATTAATGCTTTTTACTTGGTAATATAATGGTTAAATTCTATCAATGGAAAGATATTCACTTTAAAATTTTGCATTCATAAACTCCTTTTAATGTGTACTGTATTCTTCCGCCCTCCATGATGCACTAAGATTTTGAAGTGTCCTCATATGTTAGAAAATATTTTATTCAGAGAAAAGAAATCAAAGGAATATTTTAAAGTGCCTCCCTGCCTAATTTAAAACTAATAAAATGTTTGCTAATTAGCTCTGTACTGGTATAAATCTAATAAAGATTTAGATAACAAAACATACCATTTTACTTCTTTCCGGATTTACTGTGAAATATATCAAAAATCTTTTTCATCTATGATGAGCCTTCACATATATGTTGATTTATTATCTCGTTATTGTTTTTCTTTTTTTATCATGCATATGGTTTATATAATAACATGTTAAAAATTCTTAAATGGTATATTAAATTTAACAACATTTTATCATTGTATTGCGAATTAATTCAAGACTTCTGACATCCGAAAATAAAAGAAAAACAAGAGAGCTAAATAAAGTACCAAAGGTTTTTTTTTTCTTTTCGGGGGGAGGGGGGGGGGGGGGTTTGGGGGGATTTTAGCTTTTATCTTCAATTATTTGTCTAAGTCTTTTTTTGGATATATTTTTAATTAAAAAGTTTTTTCCCCTATAAATAACAAAAAAATATAGGTCCTTGGAAGAAACCTAGAATCCATTTTTTTTTTCTTTTGAAATAGGTTGAGAGTTTTTTAATCCTTAAGGACCTTAACTATTGTCTTAATTAAGAAAAAAAAAATCCTACATTGCAAACTCAACTGAAACTTTTAATTTTGTCAAATGGATACACTAATCTGGTTAGTTTGAATTCTCTGCAGACAATCTGTATAGCAATGAGCCAACGGTTTATCTCTTACAAATTAATTTACCCATTTATTAAATCTACATATTTGTTGTTATTATATTTGCATGCATTAACATTTTGTGACATGGTAAAGATATGTCAAATGCAACATCATAAGCATTTTTTATTTGCTTTCCTAATTATCAATTCATATAGTAAAAAATTGAGTGATTTCATTATATGTATAGGCGTTATTCGAAAAACAAGAACGGTTATGGAATGCCTGCATCGCTTTTGCAGACAGTGTATAGACAAAGCCATACGCACAGGGTTGGTGCTCAAACTGCCCCCTACTCTATTATCTCAGAGTTTTATAGTTGTCAAAGCCTTGGTTTTTTTTTTTTGAACAGCAAAAAATTATATATTGATAAGGTATAAGAAATACCTTTAAGCCTTGGTTTATTATCACTAATTCTAACAAATTTGGAGTGGTTTTACTGCAGTAAGAATGAATGCCCTACTTGCCGTGCACATTGTGCTAGTCGACGCTCGCTGAGAGATGACCCAAACTATGATGCCTTGATTTCTGCTATCTACCCTGATATTGACAAGTACGAGGCACAGGTACGTAAGATGGACATATTGCATGTTGGATGGAAAAATGTATTTATGTGAATGAAAAACTCATTATCAAGGCTTTTGACTCAGGAATTGGCTTTGCGTGAAGAGGAGATAAATCGCAATAAGAAGGTTTGACTTAATTTGCTCAAACATTTTTCAAATATGGATGTTTGTTAAAACTATTTCTATTGATTGTTCTCGTAGCATTACAAGTTATGGCCAGAGAAAACTAATTCCGTGATTGTCAAAGTAGTCTTGTTTTTGGCTAACTATCCACCCTCATAAATTTGAATACTATCTAATGAAGAACAAGTTTTAAAAGTTATTTTTTCTTATAGAGTTACATGACTTTTCCTACATTAATAAGTATATCTTTTATTCTTTATATATATATTTTTAATTTCTCTCAAACATTTTTCTCAAATCTAGCTAATCCCAATTCATATTTGAATTGAACTTTAAATTTTAACACATTATATCATGTTGAAGATATTTTTTTAAAATTATATTTATTTTTATAAAATACATTTAAAGTAATAATTGTCAAGTTACTTTGTTGTCAATACAAAATAGTTCTACATATTAAAATTTGTAATTGATGAATTTGGATCAACACTATAAATTAATAATTATTTAACACAATTTATTTCTCCATTTATGAAATATTATCTCTTTCATTTGTTCCTATATAACAATATTTCACGTCTCATCTCTTTAATTTATTCCTATATAACAATATTACATGTCTCATCTCTTTAATTTATTCCTATATAACAATATTACATGTCTCATCTCTTTAATTTATTCTTATAGGGTATAGAAAGAATCTTATATAGTAAATAAGATCTTTATCCTTAAAGACGAGGACATCTCCTAATTATATATGCTTTATTCCTTCCAAATTTAAAATATAAATATATGTATATTTATATTTTAAATTTAATCTAAATTTAAAATACCGCTTACTAGTTGCCGCTTATATATATAATGAGAAAAACCTTCACACTTCTAATATGCTTTTCCTCATATTCATTTAGGTGCCTAAAATGTTTCTATTGCTAAATGTGCTGTAATGAAGTATTTTATGCAACTTAGATCTCTAACAGTCTAACATATTATTTAAAATTTGGATTATTAATATAGATGCGCTGTATAATGTGTGAAGTTTATATAGGGCAGCGAGCTGGTTTTGCCTTAGTTGTCGATTTCATAAGTGACTTTATAAAAGAAGCAGTAGGGTAGAACATGACATACATAATTCATTGAGAAAATAATCAGACACCAATTCTTCTTATATTTACAATTGAGCTCAGTGTTGCAAGAGGTTTAATCATCAAAAGAATCAAATGCTTTTGAATTGTGGATAGGGTTTTGTTATGAATAGTACTTCCGGTTTAAATCAAGAAAGTTGCTGATCATTGTTCCTGTTTTAGTTATTTATTTATTTATTTTTATGCAAGATTCACTTTGGCTTGTAATATTAATATTTAAAAGTTTTTTGTTTGTTTGTTTTTTTTGGGGTTTAAGAAGACCCAAGATTCCTTTGCTAAGACTCTCCAACGTCAAACAGAAGCCGCTGGTAGTAAACGGCGGAAGGCTAGGGCAACAGCTGCAGCTTTTGTGAGGTCACAAGGTAATAATGGAACATCTCATGAACTTCAGCAATCCAATGACAATGACGATATGAATAATCATGATGACATGACAGAAACTATACTGGAAGGAGGTGGAGGTGGAGAAGAAGAAACAAAACCTCCACAGGAATCTGCTCCTGTGGCTAGTGAAACTGGTGATGAAAATATTTCAGATGTGAATAGAGAAATAAGTTCACCTGGTACACTTGTTTGTGGAGAAGGAGAAACACAATTTCCGCAGGAAACTGAGGATATGGATGTTGATGAAACTGATGATGAATATATTCCATACATGAGTATAGATATAAGTTCATATGGTAGTGAAGAAAATGATGACCAGAGTAACACCGAAGTCGATGGCGAGAGTGCCAGGAGCAGTCGCATCACCAGTTTAATTAATCATCTCCGTAACTCGGAAGCAGATGAAGTTGAGGTAATTTTTATTTCTAGTAATGATTATTTGAACACTATTGGACTATAGACTACAGGAACTTTTGCTTTCGAAGTCTCTCAACCTGTTTGAGAATTGTAATCTTGAGCTAACATTTAGACCAAGGCTAGAGATTCATCTAAAAAGTTGCCAAACTTTCATTTTTATTCTGTTGTAAATCATCATTCTTTGCTTGGGAACTGGTACAACTGCAATGATACAATGAGGGTAATTTGGTCTTACTTTTCAGATGGAGATCCCCCTAAAGCTTGTCTCTTTGGATGAGCAAAGGATACCAAATTTGCAGGAGCCATACATTTGCTGCAAACCTAGTGTATCATTGAAGACGCTGCGGAAGGTTATTTTCTCTCTATCTTAAGACATATCTAAGTAGCATATTTCTTATTGATTCTAAGTACCACTTTTCTATTTACAGTATGTTGCACTTAAAACTGAGGTGGTGCAAGCTGATGAAGTTGAATTATGCTTGGTAGAAGATCCACAAGCCTATATTCTAGGAGGTGAAAGATCTGTTGATGATATAAACAAGGATAAATTGCGTGTTCTAGGAGATGAAGAAACTTTAGGTGAACTATACACACCCAGTGTCATCAGCCGCGGTCCAATGGTAAACTCTCAAAGAACCTGTTTAGAGAGAAAAAAAAAAAAAAAAAAAGAAGATAAGTTTCTCTTCAGAATTAAATTGAAATCATTTATGTGTAAAAGAATTTATAACTTTAAAAAAAATTAATTTTAACTTATGTACTAACCATTTTAAATTTATAAATAAAATTTAATTTAATTTTTATTTTCTTTTCCTATAAATATTTAAAGGGATATCTTTTTAACTCATGTATGCTGTGCATGAATACCTATTTTTTTCCCTCAGTATTATTGGTTCAGTGTTATTATTCATTCTTTTGCTACTCATTTTTGTTGTTATTTACAGATCTTGGCCTACAAGATGAAGTAGCAGAATTTAGACCCAATGGGTTGAGCAGAAAATTAATAAACAATCACCTGAACCATTTTCTTTTAAGCGCATAATTATACCGAACAGTGAAAATGTATGGTAATTTTATAACTTTTTTAGTACCCCTCTCCCCCTCCCTATGTTAGAGAAAAGGAGCTGAACCTTTTTGGATAAACTCCTAGGAAATAAGAACTTCAAATACTCATGTGGTGACATTTTACAATCTTCAGTTTGGGATTTGTGGTTTTCTTATTTTTTATTACTGGTGCTTGAATTTTCATGTTGATTTTGATTCTACCTCCGCGTGGTTCATTTTGTGTTACGGATTTTAAGTGTTGTGTTTCGGTGTTATTTGAGAGTGTTGCTGTGGTTTCCACTTATTTTGTCGTTTTTGTTTTTTTTTTTATCATCGGTTTGCTGCTGCTTGAATTTTCATGTTGATTTCATTCTACCTTTCACACGGTTCAATTTCTGTCTATGGTTTTCGTGTGTTTCCGCTTATTTATAAGTGATGCATGCTTTTGTTCTTTCATGATTTTGTGGTGTTGGATGAGTGATTGCGTTCGGGGTCGAACCTTGGACGAAATCATTGTTATTGGTTACTTTTGGTGACTTTAGTATGAGTTCGTATTTCTGATGCATGCGATCTTCGTGCTTTTCTTGTGCTTTATTCAGTCATTTACTCTGCGATTTGCCGTTTTTGTTTTTTGATCAGTTTTGCTGCTGCTTGAATTTTCATGTTGATTTTGATTCTGCCTCGACCTGGTAAAATTTATGTCTGGTTTTCGAGTGTTGTAGTGGTTTTCGCTTATTTATAAATGATGCATGCATTCGTTCTCTTGTGCTTTTTTTGGTTGTGGATGGTTGATTGAGTTTGGTGTTGTTGAATCGAGGATGATTATTTTGGTGACTTTAGCATCAATTTGTACTTGTGCATGCTGGTGGATTGAATGATGCTTCATTTACCTATTTGTTTAGTTGAACAAATATTTTATCTAATTGCAATATGTTTTCCATGAATATATCAGGTGAGATATGAGAACGCGAGAGAAAAATGGATGTGGTTGAGATTAAAACAATCTTCTTAATCATCTATGAATGATAGTTTGACCAAGATTCACTCTCGTCACTTTTCACGCTCTTACTATATATATATGTCTTATGTTTTCCCTTTTTGAACTTTTTAATAGAGATACAATGTAAATTTCCTTTAGACTGATAATAACAGTTAGGGATCTCAGCCTACGTACAGAAAACGAATGAACTTTGCTTCAGTTACAAAAATGTGACATAGAATGCGATTACATCATGGTGCTATGAGGGGAAAAGAAAATCACATGCTTCCTTGTAGAGATTTGAAAAATAGGAAGGTATGTGATGAACTAGTAAATTAGAAAAAAATAGTGGAATGTTAATATTCTGAAAGGAAGTAATTAATGTGTAAATTGTTTCTTCATACATGGGAGTACATATGCAGTACATATGCAACCTATATATATAGACATCACATCACCGCTATCAAAAGGCGGTTTATAATTGAAAAATATTTTACATGTTTAGATATGCTTCTATTACAATCCATGAATTTTTTACTGGAATAATATTTTTTTTAAAAAAATTACAAGAATGATCACTGTGCAGGATTATTTACCAAGATAGAACCATTTACTGTTCAAGCTCAGAATTCGGTTCCCCGGGAACCGAATTCTGAGCATCAAAATGTAATTTTTTTTGTTTTTTCAACTCAGAATTCGGTTCCCGGGGAACCGAATTCTAAGTTGGTTTTTATTTTTTTTTTTTTTCGTGTCTGGGGCAAATGTGGGCTGATGTGGGAAGCGGAACGGCCCGTTCCAAAAGCAGAACGGGCCGTTCTGCTTAAAGAAACAGAGTGCAAATTCTGAATGTGAAACGGGCCGTTCTTGGACCGTTTCACATTCAGAATTTGCACTCTGTTTCTTTAAGCAGAACGGCCCGTTCTGCTTTTGGAACGGGCCGTTCCGCTTCCCACATCAGCCCACATTTGCCCCAGACACGAAAAAAAAAAAAAATTAAAACCAACTCAGAATTCGGTTCCCCGGGAACCGAATTCTGAGTTGAAAAAGCAAAAAAAATTACATTTTGATGCTCAGAATTCGGTTCCCGGGGAACCGAATTCTGAGCTTGAACAGTAAACGGTTCTATCTTGGTAAATAATCTTGCACAGTGATCATTCTTGTAATTTTTTTTAAAAAAAATATTATTCCAGTAAAAAATTCTACAATCCATAGGTTTCCATATTTTTCTAGAATAATTATTAGAAAGGTACAACTTAACTTTCTATAAATTGTAGCATTTTTGTCACTCTTTCTCGATGTAATTTTCAGTAACTTTGATCCTAGTCTGTAGTTGTTCAAATTTTTGGTAATGCTTTCGTAAATATGTTTATAACTTGTTCTTCTATTGTGTAATATTTAAGTTGAATTTGTTTTGTTGTCTCCATTTCCCTGATGAAGTGATATTTAATGGTTGTGTTTTGTTCTTTGGTGATAGACTAGATTCTCTGTCATTGATATTGTTGGTTTATTGTCGCAATAGATAATAGTTAGTTCATCTTGTTGTTCGCCCATTTTTTCAAGAATTCTTCATAGCTATATTGCTTAACTTGTAGTTTTAATTAGCAGCTGTTACATATTCTGCTTCTACGGTAGATTGTGCTACGGTTGCTTGTTTCTTTGATGTCCAAGAGAAAAATCTTGATCCCAATTAAAAGGCATATCCTGATGCACTCTTCAGGTCGTCTATTGATCCTGCTCAAACACTGTCAGTGAAGCCAATCATCCTTAAGTTGGTGTACCATATACCAAACTCCTTTGTGCCCTGTAGATGTCTTAGGATTCTTTTTCCTGTTCCATAGTGAATCTGACTTGGCTTCTGCATGAACCTTGATAGAAGACTTGTGGCATACATGATGTCTGGCTGTATGGCTGTGAGATATAAAAGACTTCTAATCAAACTCTTGTAGCATGATGCATCTGTTTCTAGTGCTTTATCTTCTTTTTGTACCTTCTCATTTACTATCAATGGAGTGGCGACATGTTTACAGTCGAACTTCTTCAATAGAGCTTTGGTATATTTCTTTCAAGAGATAAATATTTCTTTTTTTTGTTGTCTCACCTATAAACTGAGGAAGTAGTTCATCGAGCCAAGGTCGGTCATCTCAAATGTCTTTATCATGTCTTCTTTGAATTCTCTCATCATTGCTATATTGTTTCCTGTGTAGATAAGATCATCGACGTATAGGGAGACAATGAGATTATACTGACTTTGTGTCTTTATATATAATGTTGGCTCACTCTTGCTCCTTTTGAATCCTTGATTGGTGAAGTATTGATCGATTATGATATACCATGCTTGAGGAGCTTGCTCCTTTCTAGTCTTAGCACTTTGCCTTCACTACCTTTGTTGATGAAGCCTTGTGTTTACTTAACATAAATCTCTTCCTCAAGCACTCCATTTAGAAAGGCTGATTTGACATCTAGTTGGTAAATGTTCCATCTTTTTTGTGTTGCAAGAGCTATTAAAGCTTGGCGAACAACTAGAGCAAATGTCTCATTGTACTCAATTCCAGGTTGTTGAGAGTAGCCTTTAGCGACCAATGCCGCCTTGTATTTTTGTATAGTTTCATCTGGATTGAGCTTTATTTTATATACCCATTTTACTCGAATGATGTATTTTCCATGTGGGTAGTCTACAAGCTTCCAAGTGTTATTCTTTTCAATCATTTTAATCTCTTCTTTCTTAGCCTTGACCCATACTTCTTGCTTTGATGTTTCTTCATAGCATTCAGGCTCAATCATGGTCATATTGCAAGTTTTATATATGTCTATCAAAGATCTTACTCGTCTTGGAGTAAACTCTGGTGAAAAATCTTATTGTTGTTGTGGAGAAAGTGAACTCGAATCTTTTGCCTCTCCTTCTGCTTCTTCTTAAGATTATTATATTGGAATTAAAATATTGTTTTTAACAACTTTTTCTTTTTCCCAATTCTAAGAAGCATTTTCATCAACCTCCACATCTCAACTTATGATGAGCTTCTTTGTTTGTAGGTTGTAAATTTGATAACATTTTGATTGTGTGCTATATCCCAAAAATATTTCTCTTATAGTCTTGTCTTCAAGCTCGTGTCTCTTTTGATCAGGAACATGTATGTAGCAAATAGATCCAAATACTCATAGATGTTTGGATGATGACTTTCTTCCACTCCAAGCTTCAATAGAAGTCTTATCTTGGACTACCTTAGTTGGACATCTGTTTAGTATGTAAATTGCGGTGTAAACTGCTTCAACCCAAAAAGTGTTAGGCATGCCTTTCTCCTTTAACATTTATCTTGCCATCTTCATGATAGTGAGAGTTTTTCTCTCTAAGACACCATTTTGTTGTGGGGAGTATGCAACTGTAATTTTTCGTTCAATGCCTTCATCTTCACATAATTTGTCAAACTCGTGTGAGTTGTAATCTTTACCTCGATCACTTTTTAGTCCTTAATTTTATATGCTTTCCTCTTTGCTTTTCCGCAAGAGCTTTAAACTTCTTGAAGATTCCAAAAATTTTTGATTTTTCTTTAAAGAAGTAGAGCCACGTCATTCTAGAAAAGTCATCAATGAAAAGGATGAAGTACCTATTGTTATAAAGTGATGGTGTCCTCATTAATCTGCAGATGTCAGTGTGGATCAACTCTAGCATGTCTTTTGCTCTCCAGGCTTTTCTAGTAGAAAACACTAGTCTATGTTGTTTTCCCAAAAGGCATCCTTCACATGCTTTATTATTTTCTTTTAAAGTTGGAAAATCTCTCATCATATTCTTTTGATATAGTAGCTTCAAAGGCTTGAGTGTTGAAGTGGCCAAATCTTTGATGCCATAGCCACGAATCACTAACTTATGCTTTCATGGCAATGTTAGTAGCATATTTAAAATTTATTAGAAAATCTCTATTTTCTTTCTCCATTTTAACTTAAGTTATCTCTCACCTTTTGTTATCGTAGGTAGTACATATATCTCTTTCAAAGTGAAAAGGATAACCTTTTTTTTATCATTTAGCCAATGCTTAATAGATTTTCTTTAAGATTGGGAACAAGTAAGACATCATTAATGAGTCTCGTACCTTTCTTAGTCTCCACTATGACAGTGCCTTTGCCTTTTGACTCTACCATGACACCATTCCCTGATCGTATTTGAACTTCAACAGAGTTATCAATATCTTTGAAGATGCTCGGATCATTA